TATATATATATATATATATATATATATATATATATATATATATATATATAATGATGCAAACTACAATGTTTGCGAAACTCTGGCATCCAAAATGCACATCGCGGTCATCACCCGGAAACTAATGGCATATATTTAAGAAATATTTGATACATTTCCAATACATATATCAAATATGCATATATATTTTTTAACCAAATTTTCTTTTTAATCGAGCTTTGTTTGTGGGAGCCCCCAATTTGTGAAGGCCCTTGGGCGGTCTGTTCGCCCACCCTTCCGGCACTGTGTCAGTGTAAAAGTATGGTAAAAGTAAGAATAAATAATTTATTTCAGAGTGATAGAACATAATCGGTGTTGGTTTCCTGACTGTGAAACTAAATTTAGTGAGGGACTTATTATTAAGGGTTTCCCCAAATGGAGTGGAAAGAAAATTGTGGTTTGAAGTTTAGCCAAATAATGGAGGATTCACACTGCGTCCGACGTACGACGTCTGATATCCACCAATCACAGCTCTATTTTCTTCCGTTGTTTTTGTTTCACCTTTTCTTGTTTCCTCATGTCCCATGAAGCGGAATGTAGACGGAGGCGGAATATTCGATATGATATAAAATAAATATTTGTATGTTATTTGCAATATTTTTTAGGCAAAAAGTGACGTTATGTAAATATAATAACATGAAATATAATATATAATAAAATAGTAAAAATAAAATGTATTTTTTGACATGTAATTTTAAACACCTACATACAATTATTTTATGATTGACTGAAACCTGATTTTGCAACTGTTTTATTGCTCCATGGGGAATGCATCGCGGAAGTGGAATCCTTTGATAAATCTGTGATTGGTTCCGTTATAGTTCCGCTTCCGTTCTGTTTCGTCTCTATCGCCTCGTGCGCCGTCGGCCTTAAATATCACGGCGCATTCCAGTCTATAGAGAGTTCAGTGATTGTGGCAATAGTTCCTCAAATATAAATAGATGGCATAACAAACATCTTTTTTTAGCTTACTACGTGAACTGTGCGTATTGCAACTATCAGCTGTTACTCTCGTTTTATCTTTGCTAAATAGGACAAATAGTTCATATTGTTGAAAAAAATGACGTTGAATATACTCAAGTTCCGCGTTTGTAATCATGGCTTGCGCCAATTGAAAGAGTTGTCAATATCCTCGACACTAAGATTATATTTATCTTCTTCAACAGTTGCAATGAGCACCCAGGTACAACGATCGATTTTTAATTTAAAAAAAATTCAAATGTGTATTACGTCATATTTTTGTTTATTATATATAAAATTGCATTACAACAGTCATCAATTTATTGCTGCTATTACAAAAGATTGATAATTTCAGGGCACTTTCTTTAGGTTTTCTAATGTTTATTTCATAAAACATTGTGTCTCAGTTTTTATATAATTGGGATTTACGTAACATTCTGTTTTCTCTTATTTTTTTCTCTTCTTTTTTTTCTATTATTCCAGCTATTGATATTTTTTTTTTTTATTACATTTTTTATTACATTAAATTGTTTCACATTATGTACATCTCTTTGAAATCTTACACATACATATGTGATTGTATTTGTTTGTATATAAGTGTTACCCACACATCTTTTCTTACTTATCACTTTCTGCATTTTGCTGATTTGTCCAATCTTTCATTTCAATAGATTGTTAGTTGCATCCAACATTTTGCATAATCCTAATAATGGTATGGATGTATTTTAATTTTATACAAAATATTATATCAACATATTATATTTTAATGTTATCAATTTTAAAAACTTTATTTTATCTGCAGGAGAATGAATGTAAAGGTTATAGAATTGAAAGAGATACATTTGGAGAACTTAAAGTTCCAACTGACAAGTATTATGGTGCTCAAACTCTCAGATCAGTAATGAATTTTCCTATTGGTGATACATTTGAACGTATGCCTGTAAGAAATATAATAGTGCTATAAATTTATTAAATATATATATTATTTCTGCTTTATCTTTCGAAACTTAAAGTAATTATAGACTATTTTTACAGTACAGAGTAATAGTTGCTATGGGCATAATAAAAAAAGCTGCTGCTGCAGCAAATACAGAACTTGGTGTTCTGGATCCAAAAATTGCTGATGCCATTAGTAAAGCTGCAGATGATGTAATATGTGGAAAATTATATAATGATCATTTTCCCTTAGTTATTTGGCAGACTGGATCTGGCACGCAAACTAATATGAATACCAATGAGGTAAAATTTTATATTCATTTTAATGCATATATCAATTATGTAATTACAATAATTGTCATTAATAGAATTTATTAAAAATACTTAGGTTATTTCTAATCGTGCAATCGAGATACTTGGTGGTGAACTCGGCTCAAAAAAACCTGTGCATCCAAATGATCACGTCAACATGTCGCAGAGTAGTAATGATACATTTCCGTCAGCTATGCACATAGCTGTTGCCTTAGAGATCCATAAAGTCTTATTGCCAGGTTTGGAACAATTGCATAAAGCATTACAAGAAAAAGCAGAAGAATGGAAAGATATTATTAAAATTGGTAGAACGCATATGCAAGACGCTGTTCCGCTAACGTTGGGCCAAGAATTTTCAGGTATTTTTAAGTCATTTTAGATAATTTTAAAATATTGTACAGACTAAGATATGTGTGTATTAATATAATTTCACAGGATATGCCACACAACTGGAGTATGGTATTAAAAGAGTGAAGGATACACTCCCAAGATTGTATCAATTAGCTCTTGGTGGTACAGCAGTCGGAACTGGGTTGAATACCCGAAAAAATTTTGCAGAAAAAGTAGCTGCAAAAATCGCCCAACTCACCGAGTTACCGTTTGTTACTGCGCCAAATAAATTTGAAGCTTTAGCTACGCATGATGCGATTGTCGAGGTACATGGTGCTTTAAATACGGTGGCTGTCTCTGTTATGAAGGTACACACACAATTGTTATATTTTCAAAAATGCATGTCTTATTCCATCACTGTAATAATATCGTTTGTATATAATTTGTGTAGATTGCAAATGACATTAGATTCCTTGGAAGTGGACCTAGATGTGGTTTAGGAGAATTATCTTTACCAGAAAATGAACCTGGAAGTTCTATTATGCCTGGAAAAGTAAATCCTACACAGTGTGAAGCGATTACTATGGTGTGTTGCCAAGTAATGGGTAATCATGTGGCGATAAGTATTGGTGGCAGTAATGGTCATTTTGAACTCAACGTTTTTAAACCGGTTATCGTTGCCAATGCTTTGAGATCCGCAAGACTATTGGGTGATGCTTGCTCCGCGTTCACCAAAAATTGTGTAGTAGGCATTATTCCAAATGTTGACAATATAAACAAAAAGATGAATGAAAGTCTGATGCTTGTAACGGCACTGAATACACATATCGGTTACGATAAGGTATCTACATTGTTTCTTTAAAACAACTGTGTAAAAGTAAAATTTCTTTGTAGGTCTGCATGTATAAAAATTATTAATATTTATGTACAATAATTTTGCCAATTGCGTTTTTTATAGGCTGCTGCGATTGCTAAACAAGCACATAAAGAAAACCTCACACTAAAAGAATCTGCCTTGAAAAATGGAATAACGGAGGAACAATTTAATCAGTGGGTTAAACCTGAACAAATGCTTGGTCCAAAATAACTTGTATACAAAAAGATATTTAATGAAAACATACTGTTCCGTTTGTGTACTTATAATACACAATAATGAAAAATATTAACATTTCTTTTATGTAATGCAAAGTTTATTAATCTCATATTATTTAACAAATTGAAATACACATGTTCTTTGAATTTTTGATAATTTATCAAAAACCGCTGCAAATCTGTAATTTGGTTGTGCGTATTACTTATTAATAAACACATTAAAATTTTATTAGTCAGCAATATATGTTTAATAATTACTATTCATAATAGTTTTGATTTTATAAATTTAATTATGCTATATCTTAGTAATCATAAAGTTTAGATACCACAGAGATGTTCATTTTTTTGTGTGTTGATTGATATATTGAATTGGAATACTTGTATCTCCCGAAATATTACCTTTTCTTTTAAACCATCCTTGGCATCGATCATGTCATTTTTTCCTAGGAGAGGAAGCGTGAAAGATGACAACTTTTATGTGAATTATTTGACAATTCTATTCGTATCGCTGAATGCTACCAATGTTAGATAACGTCACGTAATAAAAAAACTTGCGGCGATAGTGAAAAGGCATTTCAACGCCAAACTACAAATTTAGTATATTATAATATATTTCAAAATATCTTAATATCACTAAAATGATTAATTTATTTATAGATTAAATGATGTAACTTTCAGAACATATAATAAGTGAGTGAATCTTATAGCTTCTCTCAGAGAAATTAGTCTACAATTCTTTTGTCAATATTAGATTTTATAAAAGAAATGATAAGTTGTACAAACTATGAAATTTAAATTTTTTATTATCATTAATACACACTATGTAAAACTTACAAATTTAAATTTTTTGTCATAAATGCCATATAAAATCCTTACAAATGTTTGGTTGTGAAACTCATACAAAAGTATTGGATCCACAAAAAAAATTAGACTAAAGAAGCAAATATTTATCAAATACTATAATATACTATAATATTATAAATATCTATATGTGCATTTATGTATCCATTACTGTCAAGAGTAGTTTTTATTAACTTTGTGAAAGTAATGCTTAATCCACTGTTTATTTGTAACTTCGACTTGTTCAAGGATTTGCAATGTATAGTTTTCACAATTTTGCACCACATTCTTTTCTTTTCCAATTTTGCTTTGAATTTCATTTAGCAAAGAATATATTTTACGTTCAAAACCTGGTGGACATACACAAGGATGTATTTTCTCTGGCTTGAAATATAATATAAACTTCTTAAGTTCATCAAAAGAAGCATGAGTGGAAAAACAAACATTATATGTCCTTTCTCTAGCATTATTCCACTCTTCTATCACACTCGCATCTTTTTTCTCCCACTGTAATACAGATGGTACAATAAATAGGATATTCTCCTCAGGAATACTGCGACATTTCAAACCCGAACGCTCATTTTTATTAGTACAAGCATGAATGCGTGTTTGTGGATCATTTGTAACGTAACGTGCCAAATGTGGGATACTATAATAATTCTCAGAAACAAAATCTTTAATATGAATACATTCATTCAACGCTTTCGATAGTTCTATATAGATAGATTCGTATCCGTACAAAGCAGGACATTCTAGAACAACAATATTCTTGGAGTTATCTTTTAGCCATTTTGTAGTAACTTTACATATCGCTCTGATACTTTCTTTCCTAGATGGTAAAAAGGTATAATTAGGATCCAAGAATGTTGTGTCTAAATATATTTGTGCAAGTTTCCTTGGAAATTCATTGAAGTTTCTCTGGAAATGTAACGGTACTATATCTTTATAAGATCTTGGGTCAAGTCTAAAATCTCCAGTATATAGTATTAATTTATCAGTTTTTTCAAAGAGAAACATTACAGAGCCAGGACAATGGCCAGCAGAAATACACGTTACGTAAAGAACATCAACATTATCGTTTTTATTCATATCGCTTTTATATTCTAAAAGTTCTTTTTTGTCAATATCAATATGCTTTACACAGGTGTCTGTGTAACGATACTTAGCTTGTAAAAAAGTTTTACTAATTTCGCTACAATAAAGATATCTGTTACATTGTTGTAAATGTTTAAAAAATTGATTGGTCAAACCTTGCATATGATCAGTATGACAATGACTAAGGAAATATATAGAGGAATCGCAGTTCTTTTCATTAAATCGATCGACTGATATGCCTGGTATCTCTTCGATAAATCCAAGAAACGTTGACATCTTAATGAAATGCTCCTATAAAGTAATTATACCTGCTTAATAATTTGATATACAATATTTTACGTGGATTATTAATCTTGTTGAGTATTATGGGTAAAATTTTTTTACACTGTAAATTTAATACTTTTTTGGGTAGCTTACACATTGGTCTTCGTAATTAAAATGCATCCATATTAAATATTCGCAAACATACCTAAATATACTCGAGTTATTTTGGAGAATGCAATTATCATCTGCTGACTAAAGGTACGATTTCATGGAGCGTGTTGAATCCAGTGATGCGCTGTGTGGGAATAAAGTTGCGTCTGCGCACTAAGCAAATGCTTTGAACCCTCAGTAATTCACCCTCTTCTTTCACAATATCAACTGATTTCAATTGTAATTAATTATAATGCACTATAATATGTCGTGTGTCACTAAAAACGCGGGAAAACTATCATATCCCCTATAGTACACCTAGATACATCTGTGGTAGCACAACACCACCTATAGACAAGGCCTCTCCACTGAAATCATGACGTCATCACTAGTAGGCCATTTATCTGTCAGTTTTCTAACGTAACCTTGTGTTTCATGCGACATTAACGTGAATTTTTTAATAGTGTAGTGTGTTTTGATAAGAGTTTTTTGTTGTGGATAGTTGATGAATGCCTGTATTATTGAGGTAAGTCATAATTTTTTTAATTTACCGAATTATGAACGTATTTAGAAAACTGACCATAATAGGTTAGATTTGGATCATACTTGTTTAACAATATAAATAATTAACATTTTTGTAATTGCCGTTACAATTTGGCACACAACATTTGAAAGGCATTGCTATAAAAGAAATACATAATTTCAATAATAAAGAAGTATGATCCAAATC